AGCCAAGTCGTACCTGATGAGCTTCTTCTGTACCCTTCCAGAGCCTTCCTACCCTGCAAGTCCTGGAGTACACTCCTATTCTTTACAACAGCAACCCCCTTCTCCTTGGATGGCAGAGTTGGTACCAGAAACTGCACCACTCAATTTTTGCTACATATGTTTCCATTAATGTCCAGATGGTGACATGAGAGACTCCTGCTTAACAGGATAACAGTGCCAGGGGGACTGATGGGGCTGGTGTCTACAGAAGGCGAAAGCAGGAGGCCCCAGCCCAGGCAGGACTGAGGCCAGCTCCACAGTATTGCTGAGTCTCACAGGTCACAGTCTTGAGTTCCTAATCACCTCATCTAATATTCTCAAGTGCCACTCGTTATGACTTCGTTACTTTTGGGTATTCAGGAATCTGTAATGCAAAATTGTTCTTTTTAGATTTTTATGCGAACGCAAAATATTTATAAGCTCTGTCTTAAATTAGCCTCCTTTCCAATCCCCAATCCGGTATTCTCTCCCCCTGAATGTTAACAGTCTTATGGACTGGTGGTTTGGAAGCAAAAATTAAAGTAAACCCTCACTGATTCTTACTACCTAGGGAGAATTTCGGCACAAAACAGTGAAAAGACTAAAGTTTCAATATTTTGTAAGAATGGCAATTAAGGAACCATCAAACAAAGAGAGAAATTCAAACCAGTCTGCTAGCAAAATGTTTCCTAAGAGAAGTCTACCTGTAAATATTTCATTCATTCTATACAAAGGCACCCACCTGCTTCAAAACTAAATATGCCCCTCAGACATAAAGTGGCACAGCCTACTGATGAACACGCTGATGGGGACAAATCTCAAAGGCATTATGCTGAGTGATAAAGTCAATCTCAAAAGGTTGGATACTGCACAGTTCTATTTATATGATATACTAGAAAAGACAAAACTATAGTGATTAAGAAATTAGGGGCTGGGGATATAGCTCAGTTGATAGAGTGCTTGTCTCACATGCACAAGGCCCTGGGTTCATCCCCAGCACCACAGATAAAAAAAATTTAAAAAAAGGAGGAGGAGGAGGAGGAAAGAAAGAAATGACCAGGGGTTGATAGAAGCTAAGCGCAGAAGTCGGGGGATGAGGGAGGCAATGAATATAAAGTAATAACATGAAGGTTGGCTGTGTTATAGGGACCTATGTGTAGGTTAAATTCCTAGAACTATAAAGTCCCCAAAGAGGCAATTTCAATCCTCAGTACAAAAAAAAAGAAAATAGACAATTTCAAAGTCTCATACACAGAAAAAAAATGAATATGCTCCTTGACTTAATATATGGTTATATCCAAAAAATAACCATCATAAATTGAAAATAATTAGAAACATATTCAACAGACCTAACCTACTGAACTCCCAGTTTAGTAGCACAGTACACTGCACAGTGTGGCTGTTGGGCTCCATGTTGGCAGGGCTGACTGGCGCTGTGGCCCCTTGCTGCTGCCCGCATCACCAGAGTATTCTACCACATCGCACTTTCCTAGAAAAACACCAGAATTCCAACTGCAGTTCCCATTGAATATGTATCACTTTCACACCATCATAAAGTCCCAAAACAGTAAGTTGGATCAGCTTCCGTCATGGCCCAGCTGTACCCTCTTCAATAGGTAGAACCTGCCCCCAGGACCCTGTGGATGCAGTGAGTTAGGCCTTTGGTTTTCCCAGCAGAATGAAACTCCAACCTTCAGGCTAGCCCCAGCTGAATCAACAGATATTCTCCATCACTGGGAAAAGCTGAAGAGCTCACCACGTGCAGTGCCCATACCCTAAGATCGACACAGCACTTCCTAACACTGTGACGAGCACCACAGACAGAGCTGAGACTGAAGATCATCACTAACTGCTCAACTGCTGAACTATCCACCCTTCTGGTGGTCAGCTAAACCACATGTATCTGATAGTGATACTGCAGTTTGGATGTGGTTAAAGTGTCCCCAAGGGCTCCTGTGTTGAAGTGCAGTGCTCCACATGGTGCTCTTGGGAGAGCCTAGTGGGAGGTCCTGGAGTCTTGCTGAGGGCACTGCCCTTGGAATGGCTTAAGAAAGCTGTTATGTGAGCCCCTCCGTGGTTGTTTCAAAGAGATTGTTATAAAAGCAACAAGCTTTTATAGCCCCTCCCCTTCTCTCAGCCTCCAAAACTGAACTAAATAAACCAGTTTACTTTTATAGCTGGTCTGTTAGGTATTTCAGTATAGTGATGATAATACAAGTGACTTTTCACAAATTATATGAGTAAAATAATAAATACTATGAATTATATCTGATCATCAACTAAATTTTCTGTTTGTCTTACCTACATGCTACTAATAACAATCATTTTTAAATTCATCTAAGTAATTTCTTCTCTCAACTACAAAATGAGATGAGGAGATAAGGGATTAAAAAAAAATCCTCCATCCATACCTGAACTCTCAAATAATGATGGTGGAAAGAAGAGATCATGCAAATCTCCACATGAAAATTTTTAAAATGCTTAAAGATACTGTAAGACATCCGATAGCTGATAGAAGCCAGAAATCTAATTTCTGAAAACAGGTAAAAACCTGTGAATTTGCAGCTTATTAGCTAGAAAATATAATTTCAACCCCAAGGCTACAGAAAACATTGGTGGAGAAAACTGTAGCCAGACCAGGTAAATGTATCAGATACTGAGAATTCAGAAGTGGGAAAGCAGCAGAAATTTAATAAGAAAGTTCTGGCAGCATGAGAACCACAAGATGAGCAAGACCAAATGCAGAACATAAACTTCCTGTGTCGGGCGTGGTGGCGCACGCTTGTTATCCCAGCAGCTTGGGAGGCTGGAGCAGAAGGATGGAGAGTTCAAAGCCAGCCTCAGCAAAAGTGAGGCACTAAGTAATTCTGTGAGACCCTGTCTCTAAATAAAATATGAAAAAGGGCTGGGAATGTGGCTCAGTGGTTAAGCGTCCCTAGATGAAGAAGAAGAGGAAGAGGAAGAAGAACAAGAACAAGAACAAGAAAAACTTCCAAAATCTCTAGTTTATAGCTAATTTATAAATGAGTAAAGGAGACCTCAAAGGAATGGGGGGGAGCAGCAAGCAGGGGGAGATCAAGAAATTAGAGAGAGATCCACTCTTGAAAGATGGAACTTTCAGTGAGTTTGGTACTTTTCTTAACCAAGGGTACTCTCCAATTTGGGTGGCTTAAGTGGCATAAGGCTGAAGCAAAATGGTTCAAAGGATCAGAATAGAGTCCAGAACAGGCAGAAGTAAGAAAACTACTGAGAAGGTAAGTCACACCCATGTCCAAAGCTTGTCAGCCCAGGACTCACAGAGCAAGACTAAAGAAGCAGCCACAGGAAGCCAAACGATGTCAGCAGCCATGTATCATAAAGGAGACAAAGTTGGCAGTTTGAATCCAGGTAGATTAGATGCCTTATAGCACAAAATCCAAAAATCCTCAGAAAACAGAGGAATTCATTTTCTACAATATGGTTGCCATTTTTTTTTCAACCAAAAATTCCTAAACATGCAAAGAAACTGGAAAGTATGACCCATCCCCAGGAAGGTGAGGAGCAGTCAGTTATATTCAATATAATTGACTCTAATAGCTATCAATAGACAAGAACTTCAAAATACCTTTACAGATATGTTCAATTAATTAAAATGAAAAATGTATGGTCAACCAGCAAATGAATATAGAATTTCAACGACAAAAACTGAAAACTAGAAATATTCATTGAAATTCTAGAACCGAAATACAAAAATAACACTTTCAAGGGGCTAAACAACAGATGATAGATGGCAGAGGAGCCTGACATAGATCAAGAGTGGTCAAATCACACTGATGAGAGTGAATATGAGATCAAATAAATCCTGGACAAGCAGAGCATACACACGATGTAAATAGAGTTCAAAACCAAAATCAGCTCTTTCTCCCCAAAGAAAAACACTCAATTCTGACAACATCACATCCACAAGTGGTTTATTGGGATTTTTTTTTTTTTTGCTAAAATTGAGAACTTTGGAGAGCCAAAGATGGTGCTGGGACCAGTTGGATCAGAGACATTGACAAGACTTTCAAAGCGAAAGAATCTGTTGTTCAAACACAACTTTAAAGAACAGCCCCATCCCTTCAAGCAAAGTGGTGCTCCTTACACTGTGGTGCTCACAGCTGCCCCTCAAAATAAGGCCCAGTCTCTTTACCCAACCTGTGATCATGTGTGGCCGGACTCACTCTCTTCTGAGGTAATGTCTACACATCTTGGCATTGAGTGTGCTTTGCCTCCACATGTCACCTGTTAGCAAGGGTATTTTTTCCTGACAGCTAATTGGTAACATACAGAAAAGAAATGTAAAGACACTGTGCTTAAAAAGTTATTGTACATCATTAACCGCCACAAGTGTTTTTTTCTTTTTTTTAACTTATTTTTTATTTATATATGACAGCAGAATGCATTACAATTCTTACTACATATATAGAGCACAATTTTTCATCTCTGGTTGTATACACAACCAATTTGTGTCTTCATACTTGTACTTGTACTTTGGATAATAATGATAATAATGATCATCACATTCCATTAATAACCCCATGCCCCCTTCCTTTCCCTCCAACCCCTCTGCCCTATCTAGAGTTCGTCTATCCTCCCATGCTCCCTCTCCCTACCCCACTATGAATCAGCCTTCTTATATCAAAGAAAACATTCAGCATTTGGTTTTTTGGGATTAACCGCCACAAGTGTTTTACAAGGGATGTGGCACTGCCTGGGAATCAAAGAGACAAACTTTTCAGCCTGCTGGTCAGTGAGATGAGACATGCACTGAAAATGAAATCCATACCTTAGGTTTCGTTACACAACAGCTTAACTGGCAGTATGTATGCTTCCTGTGCCAGGAGAGTCCTCTCCAAGTAACACTTGTGCTAAAGGTATGCCCAGGACAGCGGGACATCTCCAGTCCCCTCCCTCCCAGCACCTGAACTGGTGGCAGCCCCCAGATACCATGTGACCTTCACCTTTCACTTTGGTTGTGTAAAATCCAACAGCTGCTCCATTTCTCCACAGAATTTTTGCTCGCTCCTTCACAGAATGAGGCAAAAAAAACATGTCATCATCATCCAAACTTCTCTCCAGTCTTCCAAAAATAATGACATTTAGAACGAAAAGTACAATCCTTTCCCCAAAGGACTGAACCTTTAAAGACAAAAAAGGAAAGAAAGAATAATCACCAAGTGAGATCAGAGGGGATACATTTTGCACTTGGCATCCATGGCACGCTAGGCCACGTGTGTTCTCTCCCATCACAGGGTTACTTCTGTGTTCAACAGCCAATATGTGAATCATGGTGTCTCCACTGACCTGTTGCACCAATGTGGCCTCCAGGACTGAGTTACAATTCCTGGGTCCCCAGGGCAACAGATGTGGAATGCACATTAACAGAGCACAATCAATCACAAGCTAATGAAACAGGAAGTTACGGGGGGGGCCATGGCAGGCCATTTTGGCAGATTTGCTGGATATATCCTGAAATAACCTAATCTGACCTTTTAAACAATGGTGGTGGGGGGGGGGGCTGGCCCTAGAATTCTGGTCTAAAGAGGAGGGGAAATAATTGGAAAGATCAATGGCTACATCAAAAAATAAGGGATTTTCAATAGTTTGTGATAGATTGCAAACACACACTGGAGTCCTAACCCCAGAGAATGACTGAGAATTAAGGCCCACCCCACTGCTGAACTCTCTTACCTATAACCAGATCTTCATGTAAAAGAAAACTGCATTATGGTCAAAATCACGCCCGTGGAGTTATAAGCTTTCTCCTTTACAAGACAAAATGACTTCACACTCCTGTCTGCTAAAATTCTCTGCATCTGTATAGCCTATGGATGGCAAATATGTGGCCAAAATCAGTTACTTTGCTCCTGTACTCACAGCAGACATAGCTATTTGGCTAAGCCTGGAAGCTGTACTAGTCATCTTTCTGTCACTGTGACAAAAAACCAGAGATAAATAAGCTTTAAAAGAGGAAAAGTTTACCCTGGCTCACAGTATCAGAGGTTTTAGTCCATGTGAACTAGGTTCTGTTGCTTTGGACCTGTGGCAGCACAGTACATCATGGCAAGAGCACATGGCAGAAGAGGCTTAATTACCTCATGGCAACCAGGAGGCAAAGAGAGAGGAAGGGGCTGAGGTCCCAAAATTTCTTTCAAGGGTATGCCACCAATGACCTAACTTCCTTCCACTAGGCCCTGCCTCCTAAAGATTCCAAGACCTCCCATCAGCACCACCATGGGACCAAGTCTTTAATATATGGGCCTTTGGGGACACTTAAGATCCAAGGTATAGCAAATGTGGGCTCAGGATCCTCCTAAATGCAGCCCTGTGGAAAGCTACAAGATACGGACCAAATGTGGCTCATTAGATGAAACTAATCAGCTATTTCCACAATGACAGTATTAGATTGGATTTTACTCCTACAACACTGTTGTTTGACAGCCCACATGTTGTGCTGTTGTGTGGGTATGCTATGTGCACAGACATGTGCGTCACCACCACATCAGGCACACCATTAACTGGGTTGTGACTTCTACCCACGCGCTACCATTTGATTCTCATCACCCGCTGGGGAGGTCCTGGTTTACAGTTGAAGGAATTGAAGCTCAAAGAAGGTAAGTGATTACTTTTATTGATTTTCCTGCCTGCTTTCAAAGAGAACCTGAGTCATCTGGACAAGGGCTTTGCAGAACCAGGTTGCAAAACTGGCAGGGCTTCTGAGTCCCAGGCCAGTGCGCCTGCTCAAGCCCAGCCAGGCACTGATTCCTTCTGCACCCTTATTTGTTAGAAATGAGACTTTTGGAAAGACAAAGTTTAATGCAAATATTAATGTTTGGCTTTATATTTAACATTTGACCCTTAGACAGTCATCATCACCATCAGCACCCAGACTTTCTAGGAGATCTTCAGCCATTCACAGCTCTTTGAGCCTCAATTTCCCCTGAGAAAGAGGAGGCCAAGGAGGAGGAGGAGGAGGAGGAGGTCACTCAAGTCATCTCTAAAACACTCATCTGGTTTTCAAATGCTTTGATAATAAAAATAAGGCAGCCTGCAGCACCCTCGTAAATGGCACAGTGTTCAGTGCCAGTCAACTTATTAATTGGCCCAGAATGTAAAATATTTTACCTTTATCTGGGGCCAGATCTTAGATGAGGAAGAGATCTGTGGAAAGCTAACCAAGCTCAGCTCTGAGAAGCCACCACATTCTGTGTCTCAGACAGTGGCAACCAAATCAAGTTCAGACTTGGAGAACAACTAGCTAGTCTCAAAACCCAATCGGTGTGATGTGGGAGGTTATATTTTTCAACTCATAAAATCAAAAAGTTCAGGGGAAGCCAGAAGACAAAAACAGATTGCATCTGGCAGAAGGGAAATATCCCACCAAAAACTGGCAGGAGAAAAAGAAGAAAAACAAAATGACCTTAATTTATTCAATTTCCTTACAGAGGGGGGGGAAATGTGTGACATATGATTTTTTACTTAGAAACATTTCCGAAAACATAAAACTAAGATCCAGTTCTAATCCCTCCTTAGGACCATTAATTATGTTAACAGAGAGAGCATTAAGAAAGCTTTTTAGGTAATTAATGAAGAATGACTGGCTAAAAAAAAATATGTAATTAAAAGAAAAACAAAAAAATATGTAAAGACAAAGTTCTATAAGCAAAGAAAAGAAATATTCTCATGTTCAGTGGGAATATAACTTTACAACATGGTTTATTAAGAGGCACCCAAGGTTCTTTCTGTTCACAACACAGGTCACATTTCCAAAAGGTGGGTAGGGGGTTGTTCATCTAAACTCAGAAGAGATGACAAATGAAAGAAGTCTCCACTCTCATTCTGAAACATATGTATAGAGCAATAGGATTCTCCCTAGCATTCAGAACAACCAAATACTAAGTAGTCACCTGGCCCACTTGTGATAAAAGAGCCAGGACAACACACCCAGGCACATCAGGCACCACACAGGGTTCATTCACGCTCTTTTGTTGAATCTCAAGCCATCATGAATTTAATGGAAGAAAATCCTTTGCCTACTGGGCATGGTGACACACAACTTGGGAGGCTGAGGCGGGAGGATTGCAAATTCAAGGCCAGCCACGGCAACTTAGTGAGACTCTAAACAACTTTGGGAGACCCTTTCCCAAAATAAAAAAAAATTTAAAAGGCTGAGGATGTTGCTCAGTGGTTAAGAACCCCTGGGTTCAATCCCCGGTACCAAAAAGAAAAGGAAAAGAAAATCTTTTGCCAAATAATACCTATGGAGTCAATTAAAACCAGACCTAAAACAGACAACCCACAGAATGGAAAAAAGATAGTTGCAAATATTATATGTGATAAGGGACTTGCATGAAAAAGTCCTACAATGAAATAGTAAATGTCAAATAATGCAATTAAAATGAGGGCCAAGGATCTCAACAGACATTTTCCCAAAGAGGGTGTACAAATGGACAGTGAGCACTAAAAAGATGCTCTACATCCTTAGCCATGGGGAATGCAATCAAAACAGCCAAGAGAGACCATTTCACACCTGCTGGGGTGGATAACATAAAAGATAGACAAGCATCGGAGTTGGCTAATGGGCTACGGAGAGAATGCAGCCCTCCAACACCAATGGGAGGGATGTAAAAATGGTGCAGGGGCCGTGGAAGGCAGTTTGGCACGTCCTCAAAATTTGACATACAGAGTGACCATATGACTGGCAATTCCACTCCCAGGTATATGCTCAAGAAAACTGAAAATATATGTCCTCACAAAAGCACTCATAGAAGTATTATTCATAGCAGCTACAAAGTGGAAACAAGTCAATGCCCATCACCTGATGAATGGGTAAACAAAATGCTGTGTGTACCTACAAAGGACCAATATTCAAGCAAGAAAAGGAACAAAGCCTGATACATGTTAGAGCAGGGATGAACCTCTGAAGATGACGCTAAGTGAAAGGGGCTAATCACAAGAGGCCACATGTGTACAATTCCATTTCTATGGCATGTCCAGAACAGGTAAATCTAAAATTGAGGCAGAGAGGAGATCAGTGGTTACCATGGGCTGGGGAAAGAGTGGCGTAAGGGTGCAGGGTTTCTTTGGGGATAAGGAAAATGCTCTAGAATTGGTGGCGATTGATGTACAACTTTTTGAATACACTAAAAATCACTGAGCTGCAATCTTCAAAAGAGTGAAATGTGTGGTATTTGCATTACATCTCAGTGAAGCTGTTGTTTAAAAAAACTAAATTTTTAAAAATTTTTCAACAGAAAAAAGAAAAACTAGACCAAGAACTTATTCTCCAAACTGAACTTGAACAAACACTGATAGGTCGGTGTTTACTGAAGCCCATGTACATCCAGTGGCATCCCAGACAACTGTGGATAGACCCACCATTTCAAGACTGCAAAGAAGCATGGTCTTTCTCTCCACCTAAAGAATCAGGATAAATATGAAAACAGGCAGATATGAGGCAAACTGTCCAAACTCTTGGCTGGTTTCTACCCACCTCCTTAACCTCTGTCCTAGCCATAGTTCAGTCACAAAGACTCTGCCAGAACCTCTCAGGAACTGCTGCTGTGCCTGCCTTCACCTCACCATCCCAGGGCTTTGCTTTATAAGTACTCTACAAAGTACTTATAAAGTACTTACAGCACTTGAAAGACACCAAACCTGACTGACTGTCCGAGAGACGTGAATTGATAATCAGCTAAATCGTCGTTACCCACTCTGTGACGCAGTCTCAATCTCTTCATGTGCAAAACAAATTCTGAAATCCAATAAGCCCTGTTAAAAGTCTGAGGTAATGTACAGAATAGATACATTTCTGAATCTGATGCCTATGAACGTCTGAATGCATCAAGCAGAACTTTCCCACACAACAGAGACAGTAGAGATGACAGTTTCCAAACTCAGGCATGAGAGACCACTCAGGAAGATAAAACAGACTTCCCAACAGCCAGGGATGTATTGAACATAGCCAGCTCTTACCATTTCCCTTGCTGTACTGTATTATGGATTGAACTGTGTCTCCCCAAAAGATCTTGAGGCCCTCACCGCTAGTACCTCTGAATGTGACCTTATTTGGAAGTGAGCTTTTTGCAGGTGAAAAGGCCAAGATGAGGGCATTAGGGTGCTCCTAATCCAACCTTTTAAAAAGGGTGAATTTCAAGTTAGACATCTCCACAGAGGACAACCTAAGATACATACAGTGCATCAAGTGTCATCTTCAAGCCAAGTCGACTGAGGCCATCAGAAGCTGAGAGAGAGCCTGGATCATATTCTCAGAGCCTCAAAGGGAAGCAACTGTGGACTCCTTGTTTTGGATTTTCAGCCCCCAGACCTATGAGACTATCAATGTCTGCTGTTTGAGCCACCCAGTCTGTGGTAGTTGGTGAGGGCAGTCCTAGGAAATGAGTCACAAAGGTGAACTGCTGCATATTATTAACATGATATTAAGTATGGTGACTCTGAAAACCCTGTTTTGCAAATGTTCACTTAAAACTACATTGCCCGCCTGGAGTGATGGTGCCCACCTTCAAACCTGTAATCTCAGTGACTCAGGAGGCTGAGGCAGGAAGAATACAAGTTTGAGACCAGTCTCAGCAACTTAGCAAGATCCTTTCTAAAAATAAAAATAAATAAACAAACAAACAGGACTGGGCATGTGGCTCAGTGGGCAAAGCACCCCCTGGGGGCTCAACAATCCCCAGTACCAAAATAATAATAATAACAGTAAAAATAACAATAATAAATTTGTATCACCTCACCTTCACGAGACCTTCTCTTGTGGGATCAGAGGTTCTTAGTACATCTTCTGTGGACCACCAGGATTCCTTTAGGTAAACAGCTACAACTGAAGAGAAAAACCAAGAGGAAATGATGGCGTCACAGCCAACCAGCCACCAGGGAATCCCAAAAGCATGGAGCCAGAGAAGGTGCAAAAGATTTTTTGTAGATAAAGCAGTGATATTTTTAGAGCTGAAGTTTCTAAGAGCACTGACCAGGGCAGGGCATGACCATCTCTCACAGGACATCACAGATGCTTCATAGATGGCTCATCAATGATTCCAAAGCAAGACAAGATATATCCCCATGTTGTTGGGAAAAACAAGATACACACCAATATCGACACGTTCGATGGGTGAGAATTACATTTTTCACATGTTGCAAACATTTATCAGTCCAATCATTGGCCACAGCTCATAACTCCCCACAGCCAGTGAAATCCTACATTATCTAAGGGCACTGAGGGAACTCAAGGAATTGCTGCATAAGGAGCGTCGCTAGGGTGCTGGGCTCAGGGCTGCCTTCTTTCATTCCCACAATGAAACTGCTATCAGCACTTCTCTGAGGACACTGAAGCTGAGACATGAAGTAACTCGAAGGCAACCAGCCAGAAGGGACAGAGGTGGGATCTGCCCTGGGGCACTGGACTCTAAATCCAGAGATGAGGTCTGCTCTTAGGAATGGGGTGAAACGTGTGCGGTGGAGGAGCATCTCTGGATAGAAAGGTGCTGGGGCTAGGATACACCAGAGGAGGGAAGGATTGCTCTCCTCTTCCCACTCTTCTCCCATCCCCATCTGCAGTCCCTGAGGCCTATTGATTCTGCCTCAAAACATCTCTAGGACCAAGTCTGGATGTGGGTCCTGTAATTTAGAAGGAGACACCTAGGACACATTCCCAGATTCCTCACCAGAATTGTCCAAACCAATCACTTGAGTTGACTGAGAAGGTCTCCAGCAAATCAGCTCTCAACACCCAACACAGAGCTGGTGCAAGGTAGGGGCTCAGTGTCTACTTTATAAAGTCAACTGGTGAGTTGATTCTCTCCTCCTCCTCCTCATGCTGCAGTCACCACATCCCATCAGGTCCTCCTCCCATCAAGATCTTCTCCACAGATAACTGAAGTAGCTCCTCTTCCCGTTCCCAGCTCAGTGTCCCCCGCAGCCTCTCCCTACTGAGCAGTCACTCTGAAGGTAAACCCCATCACAGCCTCTGTCTCTGGATCTCCGCTCCTCAACCCACGTTCCTTGCTTAAGAATTGCATTTAAACACCAAAATTAATTGTTTTCTGATATCTTTATATATCCCTTTTATCAACATTTTTATACCTGCTTCTCAAAACAGGTATCTGAGCCTGAGGATTCCAGAAGTCACAGAATTAAAAGATGTACTTTCACCATCAAACATCAACATGGAGTTGAAAACAACATTTGACGCAAGGTTCAAGACTTTAAAGTACATTGTTTTGTGGGTGACTTGGGGTAAGCTGGCATGGCCTTCTTCCCTATCCTGCTCTGCTATTTAAGAAATGTTAGTAGAAAACACTGGAAGATCAGGCTATAAGGCAGGAGCCAGGTATCCAACAAGACTGCATAGCCAGCCCCTCTTCTCCAAAGATGAACAGCATCTAACCTGCTAGCTTCATGTCAGTGGTGAACTATCATTTCTGACAATGGTTCCAAAATTCATAGAACCAGCTAAGAGAGAAGGGCCAATTAAATGCTTGACATCTGCCTTCATTTATTCAACATAATTCATTTCCTAGAACTTACAGGAGCTTTATAAAGCCATAAGGGTTATTTTCATGCTTAACAAGGTGAACTAACCTAAGATGTTCTGCTTACTAATAGATTGCATTTCCATAACACAGATGTTCAATTTACTAATACAGTTTCAAACAGAAAACAGGTTCACATGGTACCTCGCAAGTTTTACAGTGCACTGCAGAGCATTAATTAGTCCCACAAGGTGTCACAAAATAGATTGAACTGGTTGAAGTCTTTTTTTCAAAAGTCATCTTGAACTGCTAAATGCATATAATATCAAAAGTGAAGTCCAATCCAATCTAAGAATCTAAAACACGTGTTCCTTAAAACCAACTCTTGAAAAAACACAAATTGGCCTTCTGGAAGGCAGTAGTTTTTGATCAGTGAAGCATGATCCCTCATCCAGAGGAAACAGCAAAGAGAGATGGCAGCAGAGCCCTTGCAGAGAGGCTGCCCCAAGCTCAGCAAGGACAAATGATGGATCGGGGGAACTGACAGGTGCCCAGAGCCAGCCTCAGGGCATCACTGCCAAGATCCTGGAGCCAGCCAGCTCCAAGCGTTAGAAAATAAAAACCACAACATCCCGTGTTTTTAAAAAGGAAAAATACCACCCAGATCAGCATCCCCTCAGCTCTCCACCACCCAGGGCCTGGGAAGAGACCGGACACGTGCAACAAGTTTAGGCCATCATGAGACCAATCAGCAGGGTGTTGTGAAGAGCCAGTCTTGCTGTGCCAACAAAATTTCTCTCTCCCTCTGAGTGACAGGTGACACAGACCACAAGGAAGATGTCAGTAATGGATTTTGTTCTATTACTCTCCCAGGTTTCCAAAACAAGACAGTGAGGTCCCTAAGCAAACTCTCAGTGGCCCAGATGTACCCAAGGTGAAGCAAGATCAACTGAATTCAGCTCTGCTTGGCTGAGTTGTGGACTGCACAAACAGCGTGTCTTCAGTCCTTGGGGAATGAGCCTCCATCCTGATCCCTGGGAGCTGGCAGAATGCAGAAGGAGAGAGAGATAAACAAGCGGTTCCAACACAGGGCAGGGCATGATGGATCCTAGAACTGACTGACATAAGGACCCAGATGAGGGGAACTGCAAGTGTCCAGAGAGCTCACCTACTTTGGATCACTGGGTAAAGTTTCAACAGGCAGAGACACCAGGTAAGGCACTGTGGACAGGTGGGGATAACATTGAGCAGAGGCACAGAGCCCTTCAGGTCCAAGGCCAAGTTTAGACAAACCAAACATCAGGGAAAGCCAGTGAGAACTAATAAAAAAGAAACAACTGCAAACTCTGGCTTAACCAGACAACAGCTTCATTCACTCTCAAGTCTAAAAGACCTCAGTGTCAATGGACAGCAAGACCACATGAGGCATTTTAGATACAACCCTGGATAGCTGCTGGTGCAGGGAAAGGAATTCAGATTTCAGAGCCAGACAGGGCTCAAATTCTGGCTCCTCCAGTTACCAGTGACCTGAACCCATCCCCTCCTGACAGCTTCACCCACCTGTCAAATGGAGACCACAATGTCCTCTCCCTGATTCTCATGCAGGTTCAGTGAGAGAGTTCACCTCACCAAACTGTTTTTCTTAAGGTTTTGGGAAATTTCCAATAGCTTCTAGAAATTTCCTTCACCTGCTTCAAGTCTTGCTCTGAGATTGCAAAGAAAAATGGGAAAAAAAAAAAAAAAAAGCTGTTGTTATTTCCAACGTCAGACAATGCACTTTGTAAGACACTATCTCTCCCTTGGGAGCTCTCTCTCCCCCAAAAACATCTTTCTGCTCCTGTTTGCATAAAAACATCTGTCTGTCTTTCACAGAAAAGCACATACAACGTTCACTCAAGGAATTAAGTTTGGATTCCAGCTTAGGACACCTCCAACTTAGAGGAAGGGCTGGAACCTGGGACATGAAACAGAATAAAGTCAGAGCAGCAGGCTGTGTGCGGCAGGAAAGCAGGGGAAGAAGCAGGTCATTCAGACTGAGAGAACCAGAGAGGCTGGAAGGGCAGGTGCACTGAGCAGGGCCAGAAGAAGGAACCAGACAGCAGTAGGGGGAGAGGACCACCCCAGGTGGGGGAAGTGACAGCCACAGAGATGTAAGAGGGCATGAATGGGAACTGTAGCAAGTCAGAGCCAAAGACGTAGGGAGACTCAGGGAGATGAGGCCAGTCAAGTAATACGGGACTCTGTAGACAGCTACAGTCATCATGCTTCAGAGGGACACAATCTAATTACTGACTTAAAATAATAATATCCAGCACAACATGTCCAAGCACTCACCAAGGGCCAGCCACAATGCCAAGTTTAGTATTTCACAGAATGGTTCGCAGTCTGATTCTGTTTCCCAGGTGAGGCTTAGAAGGGTTAAGAGATCTGCTCACAGTCCCATGCCTGTGAACAGCAGCACTGATGATGGATGTGAGCCTGCATGGGGCTCACTGGTTCCCAGGGCCCTGCTCTAAGCACTGTGCCACAGGTGAAGACGGGACTGACAGGACTGCAGAGCAGGGGCCAGGCCTGGGCAGAAGGCTGGCAGAAAGAGAGAGAAGAGGAGGGGACAGCAGGACAGGCCAACGCACTGTGCTGAGAAAGGAGCAGATGGAAAGGGAAGGCCACAGCAGAGCCAATGATTCTGGCCTTGCATTACGCTGCAGGACTGAGAGGGGCGCCTGCCATGCCCTCGGCAAACACTGACTCTATGCCGGCACTACACTTGGCATCAGGGGTCCAGGACAGAAGACACAGCCCAAAAGGACTACAACAGGCCACCTTGTCATGACCACACGCTGTGCAAATGCCTCAAGACATGAGCAGCCACTAGGAACCCACTCCAGGACTGCCTGGGAGGGCTCAGGGCAGAGTTACAAGACCAGGCCTGGGCCAGACACATGGTGGCCAGCCAGTGAGCAGGCAAAGGCCATGGAAGCTCCCCAGAGGCCAGGCCAGGTATTGGCTTTGTAACAAGTCATGAGAAGAGTCCAGGAAAGTAAGAGTTATTTGATCAGAATGGTGTTTTAGGAAGAGAACAATTGGCTACAACCAGGCGGGAGGAGCTAGTCCTTCTGCAATTAAAAAATATATAAATATGCTATTGAGGGCTGGGGATGTAGTTCAGTGGCAGAAGATGTGCTTAGCATATATGAGGCCCTGGATCCAATTCCCAGTCTCCCAAAAAAAATTATTTGAAAGGATTATAAGCTATATGATATTATAATGATGGATAAGTAAAATTATACAATTATCCAAACCCACAGAATATACAACATCAAGAGTGAATCTAATTTCAACTATGCACTCT